CTTATAACCTATTGTTTTATTTCCTTTAACATTTTTTTTAATTCTTTTAATACTGTAGCAAGTATGTGAACCCATCATTGTTTTATTTCTGTCAGAAAGCTTCTAAGTATTCTTTGTCCTTCTTGTAAAATCTCAGGGAGATGTGGCTAAATATCAGTCTTGCTCAAATGTATTCTACATGGAGAGATTTTCTTCTATTATTTCTTTGGTTATTACCTCTATTTTTTTTCTCTCTTCTCTGATCTAATTCACCTCTATTTTCTCTTCCTGGAATTGTATCAATCCTCTTGAATTAATCCTACAGGCCTCTTAATTTACCACTCATATTTTTTATCATTGGTAAGATAGAAAAATCTGAAAGAATTCCTTGACTTTAGCTTTTAGCTCTTTTACTGATTTTCTTAAAATTCGGCAATCTTGGTCATTGGCAAAGCCTGAGTCCTGTCCTCTCACTATCCTCCCCGGACAGCATGAGCTTCACCACTTGCTCCACTGTCTCCATCAACTACTTGTCCCTGGGCTCCATCTAGCCGTCCAGCTATGGTACCCAGCCAGTCAGCAGCATGGCCAGCATCTATGTAGGCACTGGGGGCTCTGGTTCCTGGATCTCTGTTTCCTCCTCCACCAGCTTCTGGGGTGGCTTGGGGTTTGGGGGGCCTGGCCATGGGGATGGCCTGGGATCTGGCAGGAATGGGAGGCATCCAGAACAAGAAGGAGACCATACAAAGCCTGAATAACTGCCTGGCCTCCTATCTGGACAGGGTGAGGAGCCTGGAGACCAAGCACTGGAGGTTGGAGAGCAAAATCCAGGAGCACCTGGAGAAGAAGGGTTCCCAGGTCAGAGACTGGGGCCATTGCTTCAAGATCATGGAGAACCTGAGGGCTCAGATCTTTGCAAATACTATGGACAATGCCCACGTCGTTCTGCAGATCAACAATTCCCATCTTGCTGCTGATGACTTTAGAGTTAAGTATGAGACAGAGCTGGCCATGTGCCAGTCTGTGGAGAGCGACATCCAAGGGCTCCGCAAGGTCACTGATAACACCAATGTCACTCAGCTGCAGCTGGAAACAGAGGTTGAGGCTCTCAAGGAGGAGCTGCTCTTCATGAAAAGGACCATGAAGAGGAAGTAAAAGGCCTGCAAGGCCAGATTGCCAGCTCTAGGTTGGCCGTGCAGGTAGAAGCCCTCAAATCTCAGGAACTTGCCAACATCATGGCAGACATCCAGAAACAATATGACGAGTGGGCTTGGAAGAACCAAGAGGAGCTAGACAAATAATGGTCTCAGCAGATTGAGAGCACCACAGTGGTCACCACACAGTCCCCCGAGGTCAGAACTGCTGAGGTGATGCTCACTGAGCTGAGACGTACAGTCCAGTCCTTGGAGATCGACCTGGACTCAATGAGAAATCTGAAGGCTAGCTAGGAGAACAGCATGAGGAAGGTGGAGGCCTGCTATGCCCTGCAGATGGAGCAGCTCAGCAGGATCCTCCTGCACCTGGAGTTAGAGCTGGCACAGACCCAGGCAGAGAGGCAGCACCAAGCCCAGGAGTAGGAGGCCCTGCTGAACATCAAGGTCAAATAGGAGGCTAAGATCACTACCTGGAAGATGGCGAGGACTTCAATCTTGGTGATGCCCTGGACAGCAGCAACTCCATACAAACCATCCAAAACACCACTATCTGCCAGATAGTGGATGGCAAAGTGGTATCTGAGACCAATGACACCAAAGTTCTGAGACATTAAGCCAACAGAAGCAGAGTACCCTTTGGGGAGAAGAAGGGCAATAAAAAGCTCAGAGATCAAAAACATTTTGGCAATCTTTTTGCAATGGCACAATCTCAGCTCACTGCAACCTCTGCTTCCCGGGTTCAGGCGATTCTCCTGCCTCAGCGTCCCGAGTAGCTGGGACTACAAGCGCGTGCCGCCACACCTGGCTAATTTTTGTATTTTTAGTAGAGACAGGGTTTCACCATGTTGGCCAGGCTGGTCTCAAACTCCCGACCTCAGATGATCCGCCCGCCTCGGCCTCCCAAAGTGCTGAGATTACAAGCATGAGCCACTGCACCTAGCCCAATTTTGGCAATCTTACTTTTATTTTCCCAAACTTTCTTTTCTGATGCTCATTTTTTAATCATCTTACTCCTGGTTTTTGGATTTCATGTATACTAAAATCTATTTAAGGCACTACTTAGAATACTTTAAAAAATATACCCTGAATTGGCTGGGCATGGTGGCTCACGCCTGTAACCCCAGCACTTTGGGAGGCTGAGGTGGGTGGATCACGTGAGGTCAGGAGTTCGAGACCAGCCTGGCCAACACGGCGAAACCCCGTCTCTACAAAACAAAAAACAAAACAAAGCAAAGCAAAATAATAAAGAAATAATCCACAAATGCTTCTATGAAATGTACCAAACAGAAGGTTAAGTAGCTGAAAAGAAATAAGTTTGGGAGGCTGAGGCAGGTGGATCACTTGAGCTGAGAACTTTAAGACCAGCCTGGGCAACATGGCGAAACCTCATCTCTACAAAACAAAAAACAAAACAAAGCAAAGCAAAAACTAGCCAGGCTGGTGGTGTACCCATAGTCCCAGCTACTGGAGGGGCTGAGGTGGGAGGATTGCTTGAGCCTGGGAGGCTGAGGCCACAGTGAGCTGTAATCACACCACTGTATGCTAGACTGAGCGACAGAGTGAGATCCTGTCTCAAAACGAAACAAAACAAAAAATGGTGGGTGCAGTAGCTCATGGCTGTGATCCCATCACTTTGGGAGGCTGAGGCGGGAGGATCACCTGAGGTCGGGAGTTCGAGACCAGCCTGACCAACATGGAGAAATCCTGTCTCTACTAAAAATACAAAATTAGCCGGGCATAGTGGTACATGCCTGTCACCCCAGCTTCTCGGGAGGCTGAGGCGGGAGAATCACTTGAAACTGGGAGGCAGAGATTGCAGTGAGCCGAGATCATGCCACTGCACTTCAGCCTGGGCAACAAGAGCAAAACTCCTTCTATAAAAAAAAAAAAAAAAGGAAAGAAAAGACAAAGAAGTAAGATAGCAGAATCTTACTCTCCAAATCTGCTTTCTTTTTCTAATATGTACTTTAAAAAAATATGCAGTATTTACCAAGAGGTAAAGCATTAACTTAGAGATTGGATTGTGCAAGGCAGTGGCTGCCAATACATCATTAATCTTAGAGGACTGTTCACTCTCATCAGTTGTCAAAAGGTAATGAAAACAGAGAATTTCTCAGCCCTATTGATAACACATGAGTACAGGCCGATTTGGATCATTTATTCCATGATCCTATTTTAGTCCCTTGTGGATAATGGAATCCCACTGTGTTATCAGTCTCTTTGCTTCCTTCCTTCCTTCCTTCCTTCCTTCTTTCCTTACCTCCCTCTCTCTCTTTCTCTTCTTCCTTCCTTTTCTTTCTTTCTTTCTTTTTTCTTTCTTTCTCCCTCCTTCCTTCCTTCCTTCCTTCCTTCCTTCCTTCCTTCCTTCCTCCCTCCCTCCCTCCCTCCCTCCCTCCCTTCCTTCCTTGCTGAGACTGAGTCTTGCTCTGTTGCCCAGGCTAGAGTGCAGTGGCGCAATCTCGGCTCACTGCAAGCTCTGCCTCCCCAGCTCATGCCATTCTTTTGCCTCAGCCTCCAGAGTAGCTGGGACTACAGGCACCCGCCACCACACCCGGCTAATTTCTTTTGTATTTTTAGTAGAGACAGGGTTTCACCATGTTGGCCAGGATGGTCTCGATCTCCTGACCTCGTGATCCACCCGTCTCGGCCTCCCAAAGTGCTGGGATTACAGGCTTGAGCCACCACGCCCGGCACTGATTCCTTATTTAGACCTCTGTGCCTGAGTCCTTGCCTTCCACCTTGGTACATTAGAAACCTGACTGCGGCTTTTCTCCCTATGCCTCACTGACCCCGTTCCCTGCAAATTGGACTGTCCTCTATCTCCCCAATTCCATCTAGCCTAGTGAATGAGTTGATCCTCTGCAGGTCACTTTCTGTGACCAAATTCCAACAGCTACTTTTAGACCTTTCGGGCATTATCTCCCCTTTCTTCTGGAGCTTTTCCAAAGGTCTGACATTTGGGTATCTACCAGTCACCTGCCTTTGTTGACAAAAATGTGGTAGAGCTAGAATGCAAGACCAGATTTCATCACCTCCAAAGACTGCTTGTCTGCACCAGATCCAACCACTGTTTATATGGACATTTTGAAAAGGTTCCCCAGATGAAGGACCAAGGTAGTGGCTCATGCCTATAATCCTAGCACTTTGGGAGGCTGAGGCAAAAGAATTGCTTGAGGCCAGAAGTTCAAGATCACCCTGGACAACAAAGTGAGACCCTGTCTCTAAAAAGAAAAGTAAATAGCAAATGTTTACAAATGTTCCCCAAATGATTTAGCAGAGAGAGTTCTGCAAAGAAGGCCTCTTGCAAACACTGACTTCCTGAACAGTCAACTCACTGGGGAAAGAGCTAACTCTCTTAATCTAGTTGATGTCAGTGTAACTGAACGCCTGTTAGTCGAGGTGAGATACTGTCCCCTAGCAGGCCTAGGGCATGGAGGTAAAGATGACCCATGGTAAGGTGGCCTCATTTGGTAGCAAAGGCAAATCAAAGATTTCTTGATCCATAAATCAGTCTATAAAAAATAAGTGGCCGGGCGCGGTGGCTCACGCCTGTAATCCCAGCACTTTGGGAGGCCGAGACAGGCGGATCATGAGGTCAGGAGATCGAGACCATCCTGGCTAACACGGTGAAACCCCGTCTCTACTAAAAATACAAAAAACTAGCCGGGCGAGGTGGCGGGCGCCTGTAGTCCCAGCTACTCGGGAGGCTGAGGCAGGAGAATGGCGTAAACCCGGGAGGCGGAGCTTGCAGTGAGCTGAGATCCGGCCACTGCACTCCAGCCTGGGCGACAAAGCGAGACTCCGTCTCAAAAAAAATAAAAATAAAAATAAAAAATAAAAAATAAGTAAGACTTTGGACTAACAGTTTTGCTTTGTTTTTGCCTGTTTGCAGGCATCCAACACTCATCTCAAATCAGTGTCTTGCGGAAGCAGAAGAAAAGTAATACATCTATTGTATTTTGAAATGAAAACAGGAATTATTTTGCTACAGAGCTAGAGCTTAACATTTTTAGCAAAATGTGGATCCTTCTTCTCAATCTTCATTTAGGATGCTGCGACTACAACCCTTTGTTTAGTTAGTGGAATTGAGAACAAGGCCCAGGTGGATGATGATTGAGGACTAAACCCCAAACTTTCCTTGGATCACTCCACTGTTTCAGGTAAGATCAGAGGGTAGTTAACTCTAAGTTATACAAATTGTTGTCTGCAGTAGCATGAGGATACACCTTTCAGATCTCCTACTGCAGGAAGCATAATTTATTTCCAGCCCTAGCTGCTGGTGTGCCCAGCATTGAGGCCACACTTCCTGTGGGCTGTTCCCAGTCAAAGACTGAGTATGGCAGGGATACCAAGGAGGCCCCTTCCTGGGAGGCAGGGACTCCTCTAATGGGCAACTTAGGTTCACTGACTCCCTTTTGACCTTGCTGAAACTTTCTTAGAACTACAAGGCAGTCTATGGCCTGTCTCTCCTACTTCCTTCCTCCTTTTCTCCCTTCCTCCTTCCCTCCCTCCCTCCCTCCCTTCCTTCCTTTCTTCTTTCCTTTCTCCCTCCTTTTCTCTTTTCCTCTTTCCCTCTCCAGTTTCTTCCTTTCTTCCTTCCTTCCCTTCTCCTCCCTCCCTCCTCTCCTTTCTCTCTTCCTTCCTCCCTCCCACCCTTCCTCCCTCCCTTCCTTCCTTCTTTCCCTTCTTCCTTCTGCCTTCCCAGGGGTCAAACCTGTGTCATGATCTGATGGCTCTCCTATCACCCTCTTGTTTCCTTCTCATTCTCCCTCCCCAGTGTTTTCACCAATTAATCTCTTATCCAGCTAATCCTGTCTTGGCATCTGCTTGTCAGAGAACCTGGACTAAATCATTATTTAAGTAACTTGTTTTGCATGTGTAATGTAGGATCAAACATCACTTCTGAGTTCGGGGGCAAATATCATTCATTAGAAGGGTTAAGACCTAATGATGAAAAAAAAAAAAAAACCAACATGTGCATTTTGTGGATCAACTGACTCTGTTGACCTAAATATGTAGAACAGTATTCCAGTTCTTAATACTTTAAAATCTCTAGAGCAAGGCCTTATAGCTTGGAAGAAAACCATTGGAAAGCCAAAAGGAAAGAAGTGGGACCAGCCAATTCTCCTCATTCTAGGTCTGGGGCAATGAACTTAGGGAGGAGGTCGTGCAAACTGGAAACCATAGCCCTATCTCATGGCTTAACTAGGGGTGGTTAAGGCTCTGAGAGTCAAGTTGTCACCTCATTATCTATCCACCCATGCACACAAAGAAGTCCATGAAGCACCCACTCTATGACCAGCACTGGTGGGCCCTGAAGATAACAGAGGTTATCTTCAAGAAACTCAAGTTTATGGAGAAGATAGGCTTGGAAACAGGCGGACTAAAGATACAATACAAGCCCTAAAACTGAGATGTGAACTGACTTGGGAAGTACGTAAGGACACCTCCAACTACTTGGCAGATGGAAAGGCATTTAAAGTGGAAACTGAAGGATGGAAGAGATGGTCAGACAGTGAAGAGAAACGACATGAAGGAGCTCCATTCACAGAGAGCGAAATAGATATATCTACAGTCTTTTTCTTCTTTTTCTTTTTTTTCAGCCAGAGTCTCACTCTGTCACCCAGGCTGGAATGTGGTGACGTGATCTCAGCTCACTGCTGTCTCAACTTTCCAGGCTCAAGTGATCCTCCCACCTCAGCCTCCCAAGTAGCTGGGACCACAGGTGGATGCCACCATGCCCAGCTAATTTTTATTTTATTTTTGGTAGAGATGTGGTCTCCCTATGTTACCCAGGCTGGTCTTCAACTCCTGGCCTGAAGTGATCCTCCTACCTGGGCCTCCCAAAGTGCTGGGATTATGGGTATGAGTCACTGTGCCGGGATTTTTTTTTTTTTTTTTTTTAACCTTAAGATCCTAGGAAACAAATTCACAATCTTTTAAGGTGTTTCTGGGGCGCCACAAGATGTTTCTGCTTGCTGCTTGTCACTGGGCTTGCTGGCCTTGCTGCAGGCCCTTGACCTTCTCTCCCTTCTCCAGGATGTCGAGCTTCTTCACACTCATGCTGTTTATTCAGAACATCTTCACCCAGCCTAGACTGTGGACCAGACATGGGGACAACATGAGCAAGACAGATAAGATCCCTGCCCTCCTACGTCTTGTATTCTGATGGGGGAGACAGAAGATAAGCAAGGAAAAATGATAACAAATAATGTTATATGATGAAGACAATAAACCAATAATATGATATAGAGGATGAGGGTGACTACTTGAGAGTGGGTGCTCACGGCCTTCCTGCAGAAAGGCCCCGTCGCCTCGCATTTCAGCAATCCCAAGTTTAGTGTATTGGAATAAAGGGTGTGGTACCACCCTGACCTCGAACGCTATCCTCAGCAGGTTAAACCCGATTAGGAAGGTGTTTTTGGCTGGGTGCAGTGGCTCATGCTTGTAATCCCAATGCTTTAGGAGGCTGAGGCAGGAGGGTTGCTTGAGGCCAGGAGTTCAAGACCAACCTGGGCAACATGGTGAAAACCCCGTCTCTACAAATAATTGTAAAAATTAGTCGGACGACTGTGGTGGCTCGTGCCTGTAGTCCTAGCTACTCAGGATCGTTTGAGCCCAGGAGTTGGAGGTTACAGTGAGCTGTGATGGCATCACTGCACTTCAACCTGGGTGACAAAGTGAAACCCTATCTCCAAAAAAAAAGGGAAAGTGTTTTAGTATTTTAGTTTCCTAGAGCTGCTGTAACCAATTATTTCAAAGTAAGTGGTTTAAAACAACAGAAATTTATTGTTGTACAACTCTGGAGGTTAGAAGTCTAAAATCAAGGCATATTCAGGATTATGCTCTCTCTCCGAAGGTTCTAAAGGAGGGTCATTCACTGCCTCTTGTAGCTTCTGGTGCTGTCTGCAATCTTTTTTTTTGTTTGTTTTTTGTTTTTTTGAGACAGAATCTCACTCTGTTGCCCAGGCTGGAGTGTAGTGGTGCAATCTCGGCTCACTACAATCTCCACCTCCCGGGTTCACACCATTCTCCTGCCTCAGCCTCCTGAGTTGCTGGGACTACAGGTGCCCGCCATCACGCCTGGCTAATTTTTTTGTATTTTTAATAGAGATGGGGCTTCACTGTATTAGCCAGGATGGTCTCGATCTCCTGACCTTGTGATCCACCTGCCTCGACCTCCCAAAGTGCTGGGATTACAGGTGTGAGCCACTGCGCCCGGCCTTTTTTTTTTTTTGGTATTTTTAGTGGCGACGCAGATTCACTATGCTGCCCAGGGTGGTCTTGAACTCCTGAACTCAAGTGATCCACCCCCCCTTGACCTCCCAAAGTGCTGGGATTGCAGGCATGAGCTCTCACACCCAGCCGGCTGCCTGCAATCTTTAGCCTTCCTCAGCTGGCAGGTGTATCACTCCAGTCTCTGCCTCTGTCATCACATAGCGTTCTCCCCATGTGTCTGTTTATGTGCCCAAATTCCCTCCTATAGGGACACACATCATTGGATTCGGGTGCACACTAATCCAGTGTGACCTCCTCTTGACTTAATTACATCTGTGAAGACCCTATTTCCAAATAAGGTCACAATCTGAGGTTCTGGGTGGGCATGAATTTGGGGGAGACACTCTTCAACTCAGTAGAGAAGGGGAGTGAAGTAACCACATTGTGCTCTGTAAGGATGACACAGGGGCAAACCCTGCACTAGAAAAGGTAGTGATGGAGAAAACGGGAGACCTGGTGAGCTCCGATAGAGGCAGACCTTTCCTCTATCACGGCTTTGCATGTTCCCTTTGGTTAGGAACACGAGTTTCCATCAATGGGTCTACCTTCAGAACTCTTCCGTTTTCAGACTGCATTCAGAAATCTACTTGAGAGCCAGGCACAATGGCTCACACCTGTAATCCCAGCACTTTGGGAGGCCGAGGGAGGCAGATCACTTGAGGTCAGGAGTTCGAGACCAGCCTGGCCAACATGGTGAAACCCCGTCTCTACTAAAAATACAAAAAATTAGCCTGGCGTGGTAGGAGGAGCCTATAGTCCCAGCTACTCTGGAGGCTGAAGAAGAATTGCTTGAACCTGGGAGGTGGAGGTTGCAGTGAGCTGAGAGCATGACACTGCACCACTCCAGGCTGGGTGACAGAGTGAGATTCCATCTCAAATTAAAAAAAAAAAAAAGAAATCTTCTTGAGTTTTATTTCTTACTAAAGTTTTTCTTTGTAAAAAAAAAAATAATAATAATAAGTACATCGGATTTAGTTATAATTTCCTTTATATTCTTCCATTTGTTTGAGATTTGTTCATTAAAATTAGTTAAAAGTGAAAAGTGGGCCAGGCGCGGTGGCGCACACCTGTAATCCCAGCACTCTGGGAGCCTGAGGCAGGCGAATCACGAGGTCAGGAGATCAAGACCATCCTGGGTAATATGATGAAACCCCGTCTCTACTAAAAATACAAAAAAATTAGCCGGGCGTGGTGGTGGGCACCTGTAGTCCCAGCTACTCAGGAGGCTGAGGCAGGAGAATGGCACAAACCCGGGAGGCGAAGCTTGCAGTGAGCTGAGATTGCGCTACTGCACTCCAGCCTGGGCAACAGAGCGAGACTCTGTCTCAAAAAAAAAAAAAAAAAAAAAAGGTGAAAACATGAGTTAATTATTTTTTTCCTTTTTTAATGGGGAAATAATTTCAAATTCACAGAAAACTTGAAAGAATAAGAATAGTACTAAGAACACTTAGATTGTTCCCCTACTGTTAGCATTTTACGCCATTTGCTTTATCATTTGTTTTGTCTATCTCTTCCTAATCATTTTTCCCTGAACTATTTTGAGGGTACGTTACATACATTAAGGCTCTTTATCCTTATATATGACAACGTACATTTCCTAACCACTTCATAGTTATTAATCTCAATAAATTTGACATCATACAATGACTTTTATTTAAAATATGAACCTCATTGGTATTCCAGTTTTGTCAGTTAACTCACTAATGTCCCTTTTTGTTTGTTTGTTTAAAGACACGGTCTTGCTCTGTTGCCCAGGCTGGAGTGCAGTGGTGCAATCTCAGCTCACTGCAACCTCTACTTCCTGGGTTCAAGCAATTCTCCCACTTCAGCGTCCTGACTAGCTGGGACTACAAGGCATGTTCTACCATGCCCAATTAAATTT